CCCGATTTCAGCAAATCATTTTGTATTACCATCGATGCTAGCAAGCATGCTTGTGGTACTGTACTCAGCCAAGAGTACGATGGAAAGCAACTACTAGTCGCCTTTGTATCAAAAACTTTCACTAAGGGAGAACGTAAGAAATCCACTACAGAACAAGAGTTAACAGCAATTTACTGGGCAATCAACTACTTTAGACCTTATATATACGGAGCACCTTTATTAGTTAAACCAGACCATAGACCACTTTCTTATCAGTTCTCAATGAAAAATCCAAACTCCAAACAAGAATGCGACTTGATTTAAAAGAATACTGTAGAGTTTACAGTATATTTTCTCAGGGGGAAACAAAATACAGTAGCCGATGATTTGTCTCGGATAACAATCAATGAATTGAAGAAACAAAATAATTCAAATACAGCTTTGCTAAAAGTCACAACAAGAGCTGAAACAAGGAAGAATACGCAAAAAGTCTGCGCAGACACAAATTTAATAAGACCGACATATCAAAATAATGATAAGCCCAAAGTTTATCAAGTCGTTAGTAGTAACGACGTTAAAAAATGTGTAAATTAAAATTACCATCCCGCAATTGTTTCTTGAAGCATGGGAAAAGAATTTTAAAACACATATATTTTGACGATTTAATCACTAATGGAAATTTAGATCTAGATCTGTTATTCCAATGGCTTGATCAACGCGCCGGTGCATTAATAATCAAACATAAATGCGAAAGGATCTTTATCGCTAAATTCTTTTAAAGAAATGTGCAACAAAAAATTAAAAAATGTTAAAATAGCGCTATTACCATGGGTGACCAACATAAACGAAAATATAAAGTCGGCAATTGAAGATATTCTTCAACAATATCATGATGATCCAGCAGAAGGAGGTCATACTGGAATCACCAGAACATTACCTAAAATAAAGCAAAGATTCTACTGGAAAAATATGACAAAAATCATTACAAAATACGTAAAAAAATGTCTAAATTGTCAACTGGCCAAGACAACTAGACATACAAAAATGCCTTTAACAGAAGTGCAAACGCCTATGTCTCCATTCGACACTGTGTTACTCCCAAAAACACATTGGTTGGTTCACTCCCAAAAACGGAGAACGGCAATGAGTATGCAATCACATTAGTATGTGATTTAATAAAATATTTGGTAACTATTCCAGTTCCAAATAAAAGTGCCAAGACTATAGTAAAAGCAATTTTGTCTTACAGCACGGACCCATGAAACGGTTTATAACTGCTTAATATGTTGTTAAATATGTTGCAGCTATGCACATACGGGGTGGGTTGTTTTGGTAAGTTGATGCATTTAATTGTTTTAATAAGATTTACTAAATTCAAAATTTCTTAAAACTATTTCAGATATTTCTCTTATGTAGCAGGAAATTTGGTGATAAATTTCCGCAGACGTATTGCGTCTCAAGCTGACATTGGAGTCATTAATACAGTCTATCAATGCGGTGGCGACGTCGATGCCGGAATTAAATGCGAACAAGTATTTTGTGTCGAATACTGCTCTACATGCAACAAGTCAAAGTACAACAGCAACAGATACAGTAAGTGTTTCTTTTCCTTTAATGACTGTACTGAATCAATACATGAACAAATATGCGTGTGCATCGGCAAGCACAATGTAGTCTCTGCAAGTATCACATGTAATGAATATACCTAATGTGTCTACGTTGGCGCCAGTAATGTTTTAGTCGCGCCGAACATAACTGTAGCTGCTACGTCAGCAGAATATGCATCGTATATGCAGAACAAACAAGATCAAACCAATTTGCGTATGCAGTATGAAACAAATATGAAGTCGAAAGTTGCTATGGCAATGCAGAGTGCGAGTAACTACTGTTACATACGAGAAATCATAGAGGCTTTGCCGTCATTCGACAACAGCAGTGATGACGTCACATCAGTAAAGTTTGTTCACAGTGTTGAGCAATTAAAGAATGCATACCAGTGAAATGACCATATTGTTCTATTTGCCATAAGAGGAAAAATGGAAGGTGCCGCAAAATTGTGGATCGATTCTCAACCAGTATTTCGAATCTGGGGTGAAT